TGTGATCAGAGAATTTGATTTTAAAAAGGAAAAATGATAGTAGGAGAAGAGACAAAAGATCACATTGCTACCTGTTGGCTATGTCGTCATCACAGAGAATCTCTGTCATTGGTTAGCAGAGACGTGGGCATAAAGTGCCCGGATGTGTGCCTCAAAACTTTTCACAGAAACTTTTACAGACGGAACGTTTAGCTAGTAAGTAGATATCATTCCCACTTTATTCATCATCATTTCATTGCCTTCGACTGAAGGCTATGCCTTCGGAGAAGGTTATGAAATCGGTTTTGCACTGTTTGGCAGATTAGGCACGATAACTCTTGAAGGCAAGGTCCGAGGTTCACGATTTTTGGCAGGCAGGTTGATTTAGGGGTGGCCATTGTCCAGGCTAAAAATGGGATTCGTGGGGGGTTCCTAAGTCACTGTAGTTGACCTTGGTTTTTGGTGTTTTTTCCTTGTCATCAAGATATCTCGAGAATCCTTAAATGGATGTTCATTATTTTTAGTGGGCAAGTTACCGTTGAAAATGCCGAGGTCAAGTTCAAAGATCGGGCCCCGTGGGGGTTTCTATGTCACTGCAGTTGACCTTTGTTTTTTGTGTTTTTCCTTGTCATCAAGATAACTCGAGAATCTTTAAATGGATGTTCATGTTTTTTAGTTGGCAAGTTACCATTGACAATACCAAGGTCAAGTTCGGATATGGGCTTCGTGGGGGGTCCCCACGTCATTGAATTAGAAAGTACTGCAGCGAAACTTCTGGTTTTTAAATCTCGTGATATGAACGTGCTAGGGTCATGATTTTTAGATGGTAGGTAGCTCTCGTGCTCAGAAAGAAGTGCCGTAAGTTTGGGCCCCGTAGCAGCTTGTTTGGGAAATACAGAGGCATTTGTTTGAAAATGTTTGAAGTAGGATAGCTCAAGAACCGGTTGACGGATTGTTGTTATTTTTGGTATCTCGGTAGCTTAAGTGATGCTTGACCTAATTTGCAGAATATTTTGCTAATGACGATTCAGTTACATAATTAAAGACAGAAGTCTATATATTTGCTGGGTTCTGTGATTAAACAATTAAAATGGTGGCATATGTAATCAAGAGGAAGAGATTTTCATTATGTAAATTGTGAGTAATTAATAGAGAAATCTATATGTCATGCGTAGTCTGTGTGTTGATATAATAGAACAATTTGTATTCCCTTTATAAGTATAGGCAAAGGTTTTGCCTTGTATATAGGACAGTGTAGTCAGGGTTAAGTAGGTTATGGTAACAAAATGACAGCAAGGGTTAAGAGTTGTTTGTTGAAATAATAGTAATCCTGAAGTGTTCTTTTAAGAAGCGAAGCTACCCTGGAAAAAGCAAGGTAGTAATGTATATTACAAATAGGTATAATGAAAAGTGTTTGAAAGAACATAACAAGTGCCTGTTAAACTTTTTGTAATTAGTGGACCATGAGACAGCATTCGAAGTGCACGGTTTTTACTATATGGTAAGTTTAACATGACTAGTTATGCGTTTAGTTTTAAAAGTTGTACGATAGTTTAGCCACTTTAAAGAAGTATTTGTCGTCTGGTTTGTTTTTAGCACAAAACTAGATAGGAAGGTCTCTGTTCATTCTATGTAGTAGGTATAGATAGTGTGAACTAGATTCAGGTAAAAACAACACTGGCAGCGTGTAGAGTTTGTTGAAACAACAGCACCCGTGAAGTGTCCTTATAACAAGAGTCTTAATATATTTGTTCAGGCAACAGGCCTGACAAGTTAGTACTGTATATCAAAATAGATGCTAGTTATGACACTTTCTTGGGCGCTTTTAAAATCATATCCAGTTGGTTATAAGTAACTGTTATTTTGCATATCTTATTACTTGGATGTTTAACCATTACCACCACATTCTGTGTGATTTCTATATGCTTGTCAGTGAATTCACCAATGATTACATTAGTTGCTTTAGAATAAGAAGGTTTTTGGCCCTTGACTCACTAAAACATTACCTCTTTGTTTCACAAACCACCAGCCTTTTAGCCTGACTCTTTCATCAGATCGCTTAAAGAAACTATGGGTTGTTTTCAAGGGCAAAGGGCAGATCCACGTGACACATCTGGTACACTGACTGTCTATCACATGGGCACCGTTCAATATAACATCGGGGGTGGGTGGGGTGGTAATGCACACATGTCTGTGAATTATATATATAACATCCATATCATGGTACTATATTGTGCAAGGCATTCATAAGATGACACATAAAATACGGGGCAAGTATTCGGTTTCCAATTACACAAAAGCAAGTTGAAGTGGTGGAAAAGTTACATAGTCAGCAAGTAAAACAGGCCCTCGGCACTACATTAATTTCCATATGAGAACAGACTGAGGGCTTAATTGTCAACTTCATATGTAACTTCGTGAAGAATTTATCAATTCTTTCAATTATGTCCTGCAGGCCCAATTGTAACCTCAGTCCTGAAGTTCCAGTCCTTACCCTTGAACCCCCTTAAGTCCGGGTCTGCCTAAATACCTCAACCGACCTCAACCGACCGCGTAATGGGTTAATATGCAGTATACATGGGCCAACAACCCTTTCCAACGCTCTGGATACATTGTCTATGCTTGTATGAATGAAAGTTGAAAGCATGAAGGAAGAGATTGACATGCAACTATTGAAATAAATGATCTGTCTAGCCACCCCCCACCCCCGAATGGGGTCAATGGAGGTCAAGCCGGTAGGCGTACGTGCTTAGCAGCTTGGATGTCAGACTGGAAAACACTCTGTATATAGCTATTATGAGTTGGTTATGATAGTATTTGTGCTTTATAAACCATCATCTTTGCGTTCTGTTGCCTGTATAAAGCAAAATGTGTCCAGAGATTCCCCATGCAGGCCCAATGATGGCCCAACGATGAATAACTTTTAAAAACTGGTAAATACGTCAGAGTTACAGTTTTTTTCCATTCATACAAGCATAAACAATGTATCCAGAGCGTTGGAAAGGGTTGTTAGCCCATGTATACTTCATATTAACCCATTACGCGGTCGGTTGAGGCCGTTTGAGGTAACGGTTGAGGTATTTAGGCATACCGTTAATTAGTCCTGCAGTCCCGGTCCTATTTATGCTTCAGTCCTGCAGTCCCGGTCCCATTTATGTTTCAGTCCTGCAGTCCCAGTGCTATTTATCACTGTACTAACTTATAAATATCATCAATAACAACAATAAACATCTACACAAAAATACTACCATATACAAACAAAAACACCCACCAAAACAATATCACACAGTCGAAGGCATGAGCCCTACGAACTCTAGTTTTAATATAAGATATTCTACCCTAGTCATTAAACTAAAGGCTCGGGAAACTGTGAGACTAAGAAGAGATTTGGTACCAAACAAACATAAGTTAGCCAAGGCTGTAATGACAAATACATTTATTTATTTCATTTAGAACATACATACATAATGAATAATTATACAAAATAATACAAAAGAAATATGCAAGGGCAGGACGAAAAGCCGCAATGGCTTATTTTGAAGTCATCCACTTCATGTTTTACAATCTCTACAGTTTGTTGAATGAAATATAAATAACAATGAAGAAATAATAAAAGGATAATAAACAAGCACAATGAAAAAAATGAATCAAATTAACAAAATAATTAAGTTTAGCATAAGCAGTGAAACAATACGGTGAGCCAAACTAGATAAGTAGGATTGGCTACAAGAAGATGAAAATATAACAAATCATTAAATTAGTCAATACATATATCAAACAATATAATGAGACAAATATGAAAACGCTGTATAAAAGGATAATTTGAATGTTAACCAGACCTAGGGAAGTGTGGGGTTATTTATAAGATCAGCTTTGGTGTGAGTATTAAAAATGTTGCCGTTGAATTGCCGTTGATTAGATTTTGCAGTAATAGGCCTTATATCATTTCTCTGTCTTGTGTTATGGCTATGGATGTCTGAGTTCAATATGAAAGAGTCATAATAGGTTTCAGGGAGACTGGGACATTTATTTATTATTTTAAACATTAGCAAACAAGTTTGAAGTCGATTTAAAATCATAAATAGTCATTATTTACATTATTCACATCGTTAACTGTTCACACAATGATTATACCTACAAGCATACAGAATATGACGATTCCTTATCGTTGATTTGATCACACACAGAATATGAAGAATCGGGATAGAAAATTAAAATCGACATAGTAAAACTTGGCCAAGGCTACTATGGACTTTTATAAACTAGTTCAACACAGGTTTTGTTTTTAGTTGTTTTATTTTATGCCTATTTTTTACTTTGCCTGATTAGAAAAATCCCATTGCAACTGTGGCATGCATGTACATGTTATTGTTCCTTTTCTCATCAGTCTATGGCAATCATACAATGGCATGCAGACTGCATACATTTGCGCACACATACAAACACACGCACACTCTCTTACACTATCTTTGTATGCAACAATATAGTCTCAATAAAGCACTTCTTTGTTACATCATTTCTAGAATACATTCTGGCTGTACTGCTTGATGTACAAATGGAATTATGTATCAATTTCTTCTCTTTCTTATGAAACATTTGGGAGGAGGAACTAAGAAGAAAGCAGCACTCACACCGAACCTCCGAGTTGTCAGAGTTTTCATCTTCTTCAAGGAATAACTGTCAGAAAACTACAAATTCTTCTACTCCCTCACAAAAGAGTGCTTTAGTATCCCTAGGAAATAGTAAAACTTAGGAAATTTAGATTTAACTTCAGGCAACAAAGATTCAAAACTTCATCATAACAATAAACAGCCATTTAAAATACAGGCTGATAGATATTAATCCTCTATTACAGATATCATTGTCTTTATATTGCTACTGCATATATACATAATAGACAACTAATACAAATTTCTCAACACATTCTATTAAGGATAACAATAATGTATAACAAAAACTGTTTGCTATTTACTAGTACTTCCTGGAACATTTCATACCTCTTGAAATGCCTTGGTAAAATATTAAGCATATGAATCCGTTGTTGATTTGAAACCTCGTTTTTTGCACTCAAACCGGTACATAACGTCAGTCATCAGGTCAACTTCCTGCAGTACCGTATCCGTCCGCTGGAGGGTCTCATTCACAAAGTGGTCCGGAAGTGGCGCTTCATCTTCAGAAACGACAAGATGTACTGAAGTTAGTTTATGTTTTGCCTTATGTATTACAATGTATCCTATCTTGGTAATATATGAAACGGTACGGTAAAGTTTCTTAATCAATGACTTGATAACAAGTGCGAGGATAGCAATTGTGGGGGTATTTGATAGCAATATTATGGGGATATTTGATACCAATTGTAGGGATATTTCTTTTATTCACATATATTTATTGAGTCTTGGGCAATTGTAGGGATATTTGATACCAATTGTAGGGATATTTGATACCAATTGTAGGGATATTTGATACCAATTGTAGGGATATTTGGTAGCTATAATCCTGAATGCATCCCATAAATGACTACTTGCAAACTATACATGCAACTGGTAAATATTGGTAAATAGTAGACTAATTTCGTGCCTTAAAAATATAAACGGCTAACAGGACCTAACAAAGACTGGCAAGCAAATACTGTTTATCTTGCTATAATTTTGTTTTTAACTGTATAATAGTTACGTATGCACGATTTTTTTTATATTTTATCTTCAGTTGCCTTGGTTGATTTTCAGTTAATCAGTTTAAGTGTGGTTGTTTTGTTATGTTTAAAGAGGACTTGTACAAGCCTTTAAGGCTTTTTCCTCTCCTGCACAATGCTTTCAATTTTATTTACTTCACTAATTGTGTCTTGTTTATTTGTGCGAAATAAAAAATAAAAATAAATAAATAAGCAAATACATCTACCGTCTGCGTCTTGGGACTCGTGGCGCATGCCCAGAAGACTCCTGAAGGAGTTCCAGAAGTAATCTCCCATGGCGGTGTCCACGTCAATGTCGTCAGACGTCTGACAGTAACTCAGCCAGTTACACAACATCCCTACTCCCAGGTTCATCTGTAGGAGGCAATATATGAAAGAATGTACAACCCCACCCTCAATAGGGGGGCTACGGGTGGATCTCTCCGGCACTTGATTTTGGCACTCCCAGCCCCGAGGACAGACAACACTTTTAATAAGCTCCTGTTTTGTATAACAGGAGCTTTCTGACTAATTTGCATTATCTTGTCTTGACTTGTCTGACTTTTGTTCCTTTTTCGACTTCCAAATTTTTTTCACTTTATTTGCATATCAATCAATAGTTTGTACTTATAAACCTGTATTTCCCCTCTGGTCTCTCAGTCACTGACGATAGCTAGTGGATACTAGCTCAAACGTCTGACGTTTTCAAAATCATATCCAGTTGCTTGAGTAACTGCTTTTTGGCGTATCGTATTACCTGGATGTTTAACCTTCATCGACACGTCATCTGTAGGAGATTAACCATTAATTAAAGTGGGTGGTATCCATAAAACTTTACATTAAACAAACAAACAAACAAACACACGCAAACACACATAAACAGAAAGATGATACTAGTCTCGCACAAATAGACCCCAATTTTGTGGGATTAGATTTTTATTATGCAACTGACACACTTGGAGTTTTAGTGTTATTGGTATTAACATTAAATGGGTTCCATAAAACTTAACATCACACACACACACACACACACACACACACACACACACACACACACACACAAACACACACACACAAACACACACACACACACACACGCACATACATACAAACACACAGGCACATGCACATACCGAAAACAATACACAGAAGCATAAACGTGATTTTTGACTGACCAGGTAAAAAATGAAGATGATGACGAATGTAGAGTAGTACAGAGGTCCCATGACACGATCCACTGCCTTCATATCGTCCGCAAAGACACCGACGAACGGCCTCCCCAGCCCCATCTCAAACAGCACGTACGACGTTTTCTTGAAGCCGGAGAAGCTCTCCATGTTCTTGCCGAATATGAGGATCCCGCTGAAGCTGTAGGCCACTATAACAACCAGCATGTACACGGAGAACCCGAGGGCTTCCCCGTATATCAGCTAGGGTAGACGGGAAGAAAACAACTTCTTATTCTTATTTTTTGTTTTAAGTATATGGGATAAACAGAATAGACAAACACATCTGTATAGCCGGTTTGACGTCCCTTGGGCGTAACAGACCAACTTGCTACACCTAATCATTGCAGAAAGTCATTTAACTGCAATTGTCGTTTAACGCTATCCATTTCGGGTGGAAATATGCTAATCTCCAAGCAGATTCTGTGGGGCAAGGGGGGGCTAAATTGGCCGCCTGTATCCATTGGCCTCTTGTAACCGCTTCCCCCCCCTCCCAACGGATACACTCGGCCAATATAGACTCCCCTTGCCCCATAGAATCTGCTTGGAGATTAGCATATTTCCAATCGAAATGGCTTGCGTTAAAAAACCGTTCGCATTTAAATGACTTTGTGCAATCTTATCAAGAAAGTTCATCCGTGTTAGTAGTAATAATAGTAAAACGTTGAACTGTATGCCAACACAAGGGTTACAGAGCGATCAAATTTTCGACGACCACTGTCGATTCATCAGGATAATTAATGACCAATCACTCCACAACTCCCTGGCCCTTTTGATCAATTGCATACGTCACGTATCAGTAAAGTCTCGTGTGAATAAGGTCACGTGTTTGTAAACCGTAACTCTCGCGAGATCACGTTGTGAAGTGATTGGTCATTAATTATCCTGATCAAGGCGACAGTGGTCGTCGAAAATGTGATCGCTCTGTAACCCTTGTGTTGGAATAAAGCTCAATGTTTTACTATGACTTTGTGCAATGGTTAGGTGTGACAAGTAATTAGAAATATGCATGAATTGTTGTACGTACCCGAGGCAGTGCGTAGACGGTCGCCACGCCCCTGGAGAAGTTGAGAACACGCAGGATGCTGACGGTACTGAGGAAGATGGAGAAGGACAGGACAGCCTTGAAGGTCGCGTCCCATTGGCTGGCGGTGCTGATGTCCACAAACTCATGGATGCCGAGAAGTCCTGTGACAAATTCCGAAATGTCAGGACAATCTCTAATTTTGACCAATGACCACCACTTCAAACAGCATAATATTGTTTTCAGATATAAAAACGCTGTTTTCGTAAGTTACCTTGTTTCTTGGATCCCGTAATCTCATGATCTATCTCTTAGTCTAATTATTTGACCGTTGGGAAACCACAAAAGATCTGCTAACCATTCAATTTTTTCTACTCTTTTCGGTTTTATGTCCTTCTTAACGTTTCATTTAGTCCAATGCATGTCTATTATCTGAAATGGATAACGCGTTGGTGAATACGCTTGCTACAAAACAGATAACAGTTACGACAGTTGGTCATCACGTACCTTTTGCCTGCTGTATGTCATCCAAAGCAGCAGCAGTCTGGAGGTACCGAAGCGCGAATGTTACAATGACGGCTGTGGACATGCTGATGTTGCACAGCATCAGGATGTTCCAAAAACTGACGGAGTAAAGACGGCCGCTCTTCTGTACGTTCAAAATCTCGGTAAACAAGTTGTAGATGTAGACAAGAACGAAGACGATGTGAAAAATCATCTGGACGAAGTCGTGTGCTGTTTCGTACTGGAACAGCCGGAAGGTGTGGATAGTGGGCTGCATCTCAGCAGCGCCTCCTGGGAGGTACTGCAGGGTGATGGCCACGGTGCTGAACAGCTTCACGTCAGGGTGGTAGAAGTTGATCCGGATTTTGAGAGTGTCTGAAACCACCAGGATCCAGTGGGTCTGTTTTAGGAAGTCTATCACTGCAGCAGCCTGGTCAGCGTCCTGGGGCAGGTCTACTGTGGTGAAGCACACTGAAGTGCCGTTTCTGAAAAAGAATTACAGTCAAATGAGTAGTCCCATGTGTAGTACGGTCCATGTAGACATATGGCGACCATAGATACGTCCTTAATGCTTGTCAATGGGATAAATCATCTAAGGGATCCCAAAAGGCGGTCACAATTTATTTTATTTAACCAGTAATTACAGCTCAGGCCATTTTGGCCTGCTCTTCAAGTAATCCTGGATACACATAAAAATACACACAACAAATACACAGTACATAAACTATTACTAATTACAACATCCCAAACATCAACAGTGTCAAGTCCTGCACCTAGTGCTCTGTATAAAAGTCCTGAGAAGTCCTGCTTCTAATGATCTGTTTAAAAGTGCTTAAAAGGTCACATTGGCCACATCTATTTAAAAGTCTTTAAAAGGTCACATTGGCCAGATGGAACGTAGATATTGTATCGGTATTGAATACTGCAATCATACCTGACTTCATTGACAATACTTGTAGTCCCATTGTGAGAACAGTTCCGTCCGTTCTGTCGGCCAACAGCTTTATTTTGTAGAAACATCTGCAGCTCAGGATAGAGCTTTTGACCACTGTGCTCGAGATCTATGTCTATTGGGTTCTCTGGAATTGAAAAGACATCAATGTGAAGTCTTAGTGTGTAGGCTATTGGATAGATACATATGCCGCAGACAAAGAGGCTTTAGAATGTTTTGTCACCTGGATATTCAGTGCTTCTCTTCAGTCGTAGAGGGCTTACATACAGACTAACAACTACAACTGCCAGATTGCCGAAAACCTTAACCTTGAACCTTCGCCAGAGCCTTCAGGAAAATGATGACTGGCACAGAAGAAGAAGACATAGAATGCTTCGTCACCTTTATACTCGGTTTTTCTCTCCAGGCGAACCGGTCCGATCCGGAAGGCGTTGGTTCCAGCCGGAAACTGTTTGTCCAGCCACCTGAGAATCTTCCCGCTGTACCCGCGCTCCGGGTGGAGGGACGGCATCAGGTCAGACGACAGCCACTCCCAGGCACCGTCTGCTGTGGTCACCTGCAGGCGGGAAATGAACTCCAGTATTTTAGTCCACGGACTCAAGAGAAGGTAGCGTGACACTATTGCGGTGACATTTCGTCATAATACAAGTTCATATGTGGATAGTTGTCCTGATTGTCTTTGAGCCCGCGCGCGCGAGAGAAATCTTCCTGATCTGGTCGAGAAGGACAGGTTTTGTAACCACTGTTGGTCTTTGTATGCTCGCATCGCTCTTGGCTAGAGTACTGGTAATATATTACTGTACCGATTAGTCCAGTGCCAAAAAGTGGCTTTTTGCCTTTGTAATTAGACAACTCGTTAAAAACCGCACCTCGTCATATCCAGACAGCAGGCTGTTCTCCAGTGAAGTCCTGACGTAGTAGGCGTGTCTGTCGAAGCCCAGGACGCCGATGTAGAAGGCATTGCCGGTGAAGATCAGCAGGAACACCAGGAGGACCAGGATGTTTCTACCCTGAGTCATCCTCTCGGTCCAGTTCGGGTCATGGTCGGTTTTCTTCGGGGCTGGTGGCAAAACCCTCCGAGCAGGAACTTAAGCATAAATGAAGAAAGAATTTTAACTTGATGAAATGCAATATACAAAGACGTGTCAATTTAAGAGCGAATGCTACCATGCTGGTAGATATTTTGTAGACATTAAGCTTCTTTACGCCATGTACATATAACATCAGAACGCATCCTCATACGCAACCATAGTTAAAAAGCACTTTTAATTATTTGCATTGTCGTTATTTGTAATGCTATCATAGACGGTCTTCCCTTTTCAAGTTTCTAAAAAAAATGTCAAATCTATACATCCGTTGCGAAACAAGGCAAGTCTGCAAAAGCCATGACAGCCTTCCGTGGTCTCACATGTTAAACCTAAAGACACTCACCATCATAACTCCTGCTCTTCCTCTGAATATCACCGATTGGAGGACGTTCTTCTTTGTTCGATAAATTCTTCCCGAAAATTCTCCGGACAGAGATTGTCACAGTCCCCACAATAGGTCCGATGATGACAGCCTTACTGTAGGCAATCAGGAAGATCTGCAAAGTTCGTACATTTGTTAAGTCACAAACGTTCATGGATGTTCTTCGAGATATTGTCAAATGCACCTTTCATAAATTCTCTTATATGTAGTAATGCTCGTAATACCAGCCTGAATGGGCTCAAGTGCGAATGTAGAAAACATGAAGGCCAGGACAAAGTCCTTCAGCCAGGCTTGGCTCCTCTCGGCTCCAAACTGCAGACTGTACACGATCACGAACAGGCTGCTGCCGACAGACGTCAGGATGGCGAGGATCCACGCTACCGTCTTCAGCGGTAATCGCCAGGTGGATGAAGATGTCGGCGTTTCAAACAGACCCGATGGGATCTGTTCTACCAATGGACGCTGCGTGCGAAACATCGGCACAAGGATGGCGTAAACTGGCAGGAACACCGTGAACGATGTTGCTGCAACACCAGCCAGTTCCGAAAGGCGGAAAGTGACGAAGCCAGCGTCTAGCAAAACGACATCGCCGGCGCCAAGTTTGAAGCCGTACCACATGGCGCTGCCCACCATCCACAGGGTGATCTGCGTCAGGCAGCACACCATCCGCTGTGCCCGGCTGAAGTGTCTCACACCGGAGTTACACACAGCTGACAACAGCAGGTGGTCGTCGTACAGAAGGTACGAAAACGTCGGTAGGTTGTAGTCTGACATCCTAAGGTACATATAAGGATATGTCTCAAAGCTATCCAATTCTTCAAGACAGAGAAAAGAGGCAGGGTCACTGAGCATTTCACTACACACGCTACTTACCACATTTCCCCAACAGGAGCTGCCCTCATTGTCCTGATGGTCCTGCCGTCTCCTTTGCTGGAGGAGAGCCAGGTGTTACACGGGAAATAGAATCTGTAGGTAAAGGCCACAATCCAAGGGTTACTGGAACAGCATCTCTTATCCCTACGTCAACAATATCAATGCTCTAGAAAAAGACCGACTCACTGAGAGTGAGGACTGACTGACCTAAAAGGAGAAGTAGGGGTCACAAAGGCTGCCCAGCAACAATTACTGGCCCCATTTACACGGACATTAGAAATCAATGAGCCGAAACGTACGTCTGCCCACCCTTGTGATGTCTGTGGGTCACGTCTAAAGAGGTTCTAAGCTATCTAGTAAGGACTAATTATTTACTTTACGTGGTGGCAACGTAGTCTCCACCAGACACCATGCAGGCACACTAGACCCTCAGCTATATATAGTCAGCAAGATCCCATGGCCAGCTACATTCTTTTCAGGCCGATTTCTACTAGTTATAAAGCCTGCAAATGGGGGGGATCAGAGGCAACGAGTTCCACTCTACGATAGTTCTAGGAAGAGAAACGAGTGCTACTGTACCCACCCCTGTGATGTCTGTGTGTCCCAGACCTTGATGTTGTCTATGAAGAGTGACTCCGTGTTGCCCTTCCCGGAGCCGTCGTGCCAGACCTGTACAGACTGGAGCTGGCCGATGGAGGAGGGAGTCGACATGATGTGGTACGTGTCACCACCTCTGGCCAGGATCTAACGACGTTTTCAAATGTATATTTATGATTGTACATGTGGTTTCTGCTTGTTCTGCGATATTTACGCGTGAAGTGACATGATCAAAACATAGTTGATTGAACCGATCTTCATCGTTTGGACGATGGAACCATCAGGTCCACACTGTAAAAAAACGTCCTTAAAAACTTCTTTAAGGATACTTGGGGGTAAAGCGTGGGTAAAGGTTCCATTTTTTCATTGGAGTGAAGAAACAGAACCTTCAAGCATGGTTTAAGTTCTACTGAAGGATCAAATTCCTTGCGGTGGTCTTGATTAAAGAAATAGTTCTCACCAAGCCATCAGGGTTGAGAGTGACCATGGGTGTCCTGCCCTGTGCCCCTGTGATGATGAGCCCGACCACAGACGCCGTGCCGGCATCAGGCTGTGTTCCCGTACGGACACACACCACGTACACGTACTCCGCACCGGGAACTTCTGACGGGATGGTGGAGACGCTGGGAACGACCGTCGCCAGTCTGGGGTTTGCTGTGGCGAGCTTCGCTGCGTGTCCAAGGGCAAGGCTGTCGGCCACTACAGTTGCCCTAGCGGCGTGGCTCTGAAAAAGCACAGATACCGAAATATTCAACTTAGGAGAACAATTGCTGAAATAGTGGTGACGCACTCCAGTAAACAAAACGTATGTCGGCGCCACTAGTAAATGTACGTAGAAACGTTAAAAAGCTTAAGTGACCACAATCGTGCTTAATTGACTATATAGTTACTATTATGTCAAGATTTATGTCACAATGATATGATATCACAACAAAGTGGTTTTGAAAGCCCTAGTCCAACCCCAACCAAATAGCGAAATGTTTCGCTTCTGTGCTCCATGTCAGTTAATAATGATGCAATTGCTCCGATAGGATAGAAATATGAGCGACAAAATTGATAACAGCTATCGTGCTTAATATATCATAAAACATTAAATTAGATGTCTTGACGTACCCTGATGTTTAACTGCAATGTCAATAGTTGGGACACCAGAAAAATCATCCACAGCGCTAAGATCGTCCCAAACACGGTATAATTTGTGGCCAACTTGTCGATGTTGCTACCAAACTTGTCGAAGTCCACGAAATTCGGAACAGCCAGAAATGATGTTGCCAGAGTCACTCTAGAACTTCTGCCCTGCCGTGTCATGTCACACGTGCACCGTGTGGTGTCCTCGTTCGTTTCAACCCCAACCTGCGGTGCACATCATCTCATTTAATTAATTCTCAGGATAAGAATAAAAGTATCAATTGGATTGTGAGTGACCTAAGTCAAAGTCATTCCTCCGTCTACACAGCGTCCTGCGCCATACAGTACTTGGTGGTATCAATTGTATGTCAATCAAAATCTTCTCTTTCTCTCTCTTAGTATTTGGGGTATAAATGATTACATATTAGTTTTATTACATGAAACAAACAGGTAAGATACTATCAGATCAGGTAACATAGAGAACTTTATTGACACAACAAAAGTACAGCGACTTTCGTAAGGTCTACGACATGTAGATATACAGACAAATATACATGGGTACAACGAAATTATCCTACGTACAAAACAATAGATGGGTCAATTAATACTACTTGTTCTAAGGTCTAAACATTCTTTGATATATTTACCTATTTGTACACAGTAAGGGTTATTACCCTCTAGGATGAAATTAAATTTATCTATGGCATGAAATGTAACAAATTATAAACGTCAGTAGAACCTTGCAGCTGCGGCTGTCCCAGGTGTGGTTGTCCATTTCCCGCAGCAGACAGGAGACTACTGCAGACTGCAGCACAAACCCTGCAGAGTCGGCAGGGGGCGCTGTCGCACGGACCGCTGACGTTAGCAGTCTTCTCAGTCCAGTTTGAGGCAGGTCTCCGCCTATTATATTAATTAAACATGAGAAAATATCACTGTTTTCAGTCCTGGGAGAGTAATACTTTCATTCAGATGTACATCTTTTCAAGCTGAATGATTACGTTGACGTTGTACAATTACGTTTATTGCAAATTCTTGCAGTTGACGATAATTACAAGTGAAGGACAAACATTGATGAATGATATAACTTGAAGAACATTATTGAAACTTCGCATATTATATACAACGAAAAAGCTCATTTTTGACATTTGAAATGATGGATCAGCACCATTAAACTGCTTTAAGAAACGCGATAAAAGTTATCAGGCAATGTTTACCTATTGTCTTTACTCCAACGAAGAGCCATCCTCGTTCCTTTTGGATCTCCGGAACTATTGATGTATTAAAACTGGAGTAAACCAGACCGTACGGCATGTCAAAACCGTCGTAATCAGTCACCTCAGGAGGCTTGACAGTTGTGGTGTAGTCGAACTCTTCCTCCGTGGGGAAGTCGTGAAACCGGAAGTACACCTGCAGCTCTGAGTCGACGTCATCGACGGTGAATCTGATCAAAGGAACTTGACCTACGTCAGAGATGTACATGGCGTGATACGTCATGTCCGTGACGTCAGGGACCTTGGACAGAGGGAAGGACGACCTGCCGGCATCAGCAAGGTTCTGCCTGTACGATGTGGGCAGGGTCTCGTGGTACTGTTGTTCTGTGTCGCTCGTGATCCCAAACTGTACTTTCTGTTTGACGATAACGGTGATGTTCGATGGATTTCCATCGACGTCATCCGTATCCTTGGTGATTGTCACCATGACAACTGATGAGGATACCTCGGTTTTCTCGACACTCCAGACAAATGGATCCTTGACAAATGCCACGACCTGCGGGAGACACGGGGTAAAAGGTCCTTACATTTTACTGACCACAATCATGTCCAAACCTGAAGAAAATTAAACTGTTCATGCCCAAACCTGTAATACTGACCACCACTATATACGGTTCACCTGGTCATTGGTATACAGTTAAACCTGTACTGGTGACCACCACTATAATAGGATCACCTGGCCATTGATATACATTCAAACTAGTTGTACTATCACTGTTACTACCTCTACATGAGGACCACTTGACCAATGTGTGCACAATGTTTGTGGCCCTCAGATCATTTTCTGTCTATAGTGATGGCCACCTGTTCACATTGACTAGATTTTAACAGCCCCCGTATAGTGGTCGTCTTGGATAGATTGTTACGTAAGCTCGAACAACCCGGCTTTAGGAGCGTTTGCTTGTTATCATTATTATGATTTATTTATTTATTTAGATTATTTTGCTACGTACCTTTTCAAATCAAATGTCATTACTAATTGATATTATTACTATTATCATCGTTATTGTTTCAATTTGCTGTTTTGTTCATACTGCTGCTGACCTATCATTTATCTTTGGCTCTTCGTTCTATTATTTTACCGTTCATTATATAATTTGTTAATTCTTTGTCATCATCCTTGAAACAAGTGCTGTTATGATTTTTGTTATTGTTTATTTCAATTATTATTGTGGTAATCCTTATTAGTTTATTTTGGTGGGGTATTAAAAAGGAATATGTTCCTGTTACCCCTATCCTTTTACACATTTGTTGTAATAAAGTTGAAATAATTAAATACCTTCATAACGGAGCCCTCAGGAAGGTTGTCCTCCCTCGTAAACACGACAGACCCGACATCCTGACCGATAGGCACGACACCGACATCAGGGATGCCCTTCTTCACCGCCGTCATCACACCGTCAGACCGGAAGTACGTACTCTCTCCTTCCGGTGGTGCCTCCTCCAACAGTCTGTCTGCTGCAGCATCCAGCAGCTCGAGCAGATCTCTCGTTTCCCCAATCACCTGTAGTTGGGGCAAATATGGAGTCCCAGTCAGCCGAATTGATTTTTTAAGAGTTGTATCTTTTTTTTAACGGTGTCACTCAATGCAAGGCCAATAGTTTTTGGCCACTTCCAGGCATAGAGCTAGAGATACTTAAGTGAGTATAATGTAGTTACGTCAGGAGATGGCGGTGGACCTTTGTTTTGAAGCTTTGTGGATTGTAATTGGATCTGTTTGGAAGAGAGTTCAATAATTTTGAGGAGGTGAAGGCAGCTGAAGGAGAGACATGGGCTCTGCTTTATAAACGAATACCTGACATTGGTTGGGGAGGTAAAGGGCAGTGGGAGGAGGGAGACGGGCTCTGCCTTCCAATACCAAGCCCTAGATTAAGCCTATTTTAAACTATAGCTAACTGGCCTACGAAACTACCCGTTACTTTTTCCGACAGGGAGAAACTGGTACATACCCGGGCCTTGAGACGTTCTTGTTCCTTTTTCTCCTGTATCAGCTGTTCCATCGGTGACAGGTCGGTAGACTGGACGTCTATCAGATTCTTCAACCCATCTGTGACGCCGGAGGAGAGGTCAAAGGTCGTCTCCTTGGCAACCGTCTCCCTGCTACTGCTTTGAGCCCGCAGTACGGAGGAGGTCGCGTCAGTCACTTCTGTAGGTTTGGGAAGGAACATACAGTCAGCTACATGCGCGTGTAGATGATTGTATTTAGCATTTATCAGTGCCTCCTCTTCCGGATCCTGACGCTTTTAGCCCAATGGCACGTGGGTTTATTTATTTATTTCAAATGTTAGACCACACATTACACAGACTTACAGGCAGCAAAAGCTGATGAACGTAAGTCTATCAGGATAACAGGTATAAACAGCTACAACTTACAGGACATAACAATACATATATATATATATATATAT